GTGGGTATGCAGATGATCCCTTGATTGACTGATGATCCCGTGACAGATGATCCCTTGATTGTGCTCGTCAATGACCGAATTAAATGATTTGATTTGATTTGATCCCTTGATTGAAGTGTTTGGTTCCAAGAGGACAAAGGTATGGGCCAACTTAGGCCCTGCAAGTGTTTTGGACTTCAACTCCCACCATTCCTAACAGTCTCAGGCCCCTTCCTTTTCCCACTCAGCCGCTGAGGCTGTTAGGAATGATGGGAGTTGAAGTCCAAAACACCTGGAAGTAAGGCCCAAGTTGGCCATGCCCCGGGTTAAACCCTTCAGCTCCAGAATGAGGTCTCTTCCAGCCCATTTTCTCTTCTGGTGGACAGCACGACCCAGGTAAGTGATCAATACGCAAAGGTGTTTGGTGCAGAAGGCAACTCCCAACATTATTATTCTTGACTGTGTATTATTTAGCATCTCTAGACTGACAGTAGCTCATGGCAGAGGCTCAACTTTGCAGAACAACATTCAGTGTTTTGGGTTGGGGAGTTCGGGTTGGTTTATTTTAATCACGTCCTTGGGTTTTTCTGTTCTCCTCGATGGAGACCGTTTCTGTTGGAAACGGCGGACTCATTTTACAGATTAGCTTTTAAAACCCTTGGTCCTTCTCACTCAGCACACAGTTTTGTGTTGGAGAGGAGCCATCTGAAGAGATTAGGAGGCGCCACGGAGGAGTTGGAACGCGGCTGTTTCAACCGAGTGTTGGCCAGCTGTCTTGCAGAATGTGGGTTGCGTGTTGTATGCAGGCACGGGTACTGATGCATTGATTCAGGCCAGCATTGTGTTGGTACATTAGGTGGTTGTGCTCCTGTCCAAGTTGCACATCAGTCTCTAAGGAAAGTCAATGTGGTTTTTCCAGGAAGAAGGCTGAGGGCTCCATGCCACTGTATCTTGAACGCCTTGGCTTCCAGAAGGTCCTTGAGAAGGCTTCCTGGGGAAATCCCTTGAGTTTGGACCATTCTCTCCATTGCCTTTTCCCCTTTCTAGGAGGTTTCACTTGCGTTGAAATAGGCGACATCCAAAGTCGTGGACAGTGTCCAACTCCCTCTTCTTCTCCCCCTCCATCCATAGCATCTTCTGCACCTTGATGGAGGCAATATATTTGGCCTTTTGAGCATTAAGTATTGATCTGTGGAGAGTGTTAGATGGAACGGGTGGTTGGAACACTCTTCCGTGCCTAATAAATTTTGTTTAGTGCTGCTACTTTGCACAGAGCAGCGTTGGGTCATTCTATGTTTGTATATCATCTTTGTGCCCGTAGTGCTTTAAAACGGACTTTTCCTCCCTTTTCTTTCTCCTGTTTTGGACTACTCTCTTGTTGACGAACTCTGTAATATCTCTTCCTTGAAGGCCTTAGACACGTCCTCTTTGCAGAATTACGGGGCAGGGATTATTCTGAGTGTCCTTGTTGCCTTCTGCAAACGAAGCCATTCTTCCCAGGGCATCACTGTAAAAGTGCCTTAAAGGAGTTTCCCACCCAAAATGCAAACCCAACCCCCTCTTCTCCAAGGCCTGGCCTCTGCTAATCCATGGGGGGGATCTGGGTTGGACTTGGGCCCTTTTAACCCATAACTGCTTTGTTTCCTGCCGCGACCATCCAGCCCATCTGCTAATCATAACTTTGCCATTCCAGCTGCAGCCAACATGGTGTTGTTTGACGCTGAGTATCCGTTTCGCCCTTAACTTGCTTGAGAACTTTGCGTTCCATTTTGTTTGGTTTCTTTTCTTTTTTTGTCCGTTCCTTGCTGATCTCTGTCCCGGAATGGGAAAAGCGAGCTGCACTGTCCACCCAGAACCCTTTTCCTTGACTAATCCTCTTTTTCCAGCACGTGAACAGAAGTTGGCGGTCCGCAAGAATTGCCTTCTCAAAGCGGAAGCGTGCAAAGCTCTTCCCACCCACCCCCCCAAAAAAGGAAAACCCCAAATCAGTTGATCATTTGGTGGGGAAAGCAAGATGAAATTGCAGGAGTTGATGCAATGCAATGTCCAGAGTGTTTCATGGTGCCACCCCCATATTGAACCTATATCAACATGAATGAAGCTCTCCTTGGGGTTAAGAGTGAGCCCACCCCATCCCAAACCTCCCTCTTACTTCTTCAGGGCCATAGCGTTGGCCAAACTCCAAGCATAGGGTACACTTGGGCCTACTAGTTGGTCTGTCTTGAAACGGAGGGTGAGAAATGCCAGAGGTGAACTGAGATTGTAAAAAACATGATACAAGTGCCTATTTCTATTGTCCTTTCCCCGTCCGTAAGTATTGTGCATTTCTCCCCATGTGGGTAATATACGTGTATTGACTTGTTGTGTCTTGCCCTTTGCTCTGGAAAGGTAAACGTGCACTCTTCCGTGGTTCAGTCTCTAAAGGAGAGCATCCCTTCCTCCCTCTTAAGTGGAATATTTGGCCCTCGTTGGATACGGAGAGCCAAATGGAGCAATCGACTCCATGGAGTGGTCTTTGGTTACCATAAAGGCTCAAGTCCTAGGATAGTTGGTTGGCTGAATTGCTTGTCCCAGAGCCTTGCGTACAGGTCTGCCTTCGTTCATTGAAACATTGCCTACGCTGAACCAAACCCAGGCCAACCGGGCCTTCCCTTGAAGCCCGTGGCTCTTCGGAAATACCATAATGCCTTCCCAACCAAGTGGCTTCAAACGTTGCTTTGGGGCGGCTGTTGGAGTTTTGTAAACAACGAAAATGCGGAGGCATTTTGGGACTTTGGAGGCAACATTTTCAGGTCTGGAGAGGCTTCCTGTCACTAAAGAAAATTATCCTGGGGCTTTAAAAGGAGCAAAAAGTTTCCAGAATGCCCTCCTAGGGACATTCTGGTGCCAAGAACGTGATTCCTGGGACTTTATCACATTGGGAGATACTCCGTTTCTATCAGTATGCGTCCTGTATCTTTTTAGAACTGGACGGACACTGCATTCCAACAGGATGCGCACTCACCCCCATCACACCCAATTCTCGTCCATTTTGGAAATGTTGCGCTTGGATCCCATGGAAGGCTGGCTCCTCCCAATCTGTTCACATGCCTTCCTGGAACACGTTTTTGCAATTTTATTTTTCTAATCTTGCGCAGTGACGCAGCCTGGAAGTCCCGAACGACCGATCTTGCGAAATTTGAGCTGACGGAATGCGTTCTGATTTCACGATCGGAAACTGCCTCGGAATCATATCAAAATTTGAAAAACATGATTAGAATCCTCTGTGCTATTACTTCTGTTTCTGCAACGTTTCACAGACGGATTACTGACAGAATGGGACAAAAGTCATGTGATACGATCCCTTCAGAATCGCTTCCAAAGAGCCTTGTGAACGGAGTATATCCTAATGTGATGAGGTCCCCGGATGCCACAAAAATGGCTCCTCTTTGGTGTTCCTTGCTGAGTACTTGGATGTCGTGCCTGGGGACAGAGCTAACATAGAGCCACCCCAGTTCTGTAACAGGAGACTATGGGCATCTACTGGGATGGAGCTGCAGATGTTCCTAGTCTCCTGCTATAATAGGATGGCAGGCCATTGCCTCTCTGCCCAGATCCAGGCATGATCACCCAATTATTCTTACATGAGAAGAGAAGGTTGAGTTCTGTATGGGAAATATGGCTATCTGTCTACATAAAGCCAAGGAGAACCCAAGTGGAAGTCCAAGGTGCCTCCAGAGATATTCTTTTGGGGAACGAACCTCACAGACGGTGCAGGATGAGGGATCCAAGTCCAGAGATGGAAAAGGACATCTCTTTTGCTCACGGGACGCAAGATAGAAGACCGCCCGGGCCTTTTCCCAGGTTTGGCGCCATCAGACAAATCCCAACCTCCAGCTGAGGCTCCCACTCTTTTACTTTGCTGTAAAACATCACCAGAACAGCCGTGCTGTTTTGTTTTACGAGCCGCATTCCTAGCAACAGGGATCCCCAGAAATGCTCTTTGGAATCGACCCACCGCCGCCTCGAAATGGGAATCTTTGCGGAGAGCAGAGCGGGTTTCTTTGCAAAGATGGGGTGTCTCTGTCTCTCTTTCCCCCGCTTTCCGCACTCTGCATGGCTTGCCAAAGGCAAGGCATCGCTCCTTTCCCTGCAAACCCGTGAATGCCACTGCTGCTCCGGGGGCATTCACCCCACGTCGACCTGGCATGGGTGCTTTCTCGGACAAAGCCGGATGCAAGAGGCCGGGTTGCATCCGCGGGCGTCCTTTGCATGAGGAAGCTGGGGAGCCAAGGCTATGCCTCGAAAGCATAGCAAGCAAAGGGGGGTGTGCATTTGGCAAAGGCAATGTCTGAATGGATGAAAGCTTTTTCCTGGGCTGCACTCTGCTTTCTGGGGAGATTATCACGCGACGGCGTCGAAGCACTGCTATGGCCGCCTCCCACGACATCCTGGGATTTGCAGTTTAGTAAGATGAAGGAGAATGTTAAAGATCTCTCCCTACACTGCAAATCCCAGGATTCCATGAGAAGCAGCCATAGGATGAGAAACGGAGTCGCAACGCCGTGACAGCGTCGTGTGATTCTCTCCATTGTCCGGAGCGCTTTTTCTCTCCTTGCAAGAGCTTTACCGCTCCGGCGTTTCCTCCCCACTTTGCATGTCTCCCTAACGCTCCACAAAACAACAACACTGTTGGCAGAAAGAACAGAAGCAAAAACCCCCAACCCAAGCAAGCGGGGGGCCCTTTTCTCCCTTTGGACCCCTGCTCCCCCTTTTCCAGGCTCACGGCTTTGTAAATAAGCTCAAAGGCATGTCTCTTTACAAACAGTGCAACTCACTTCAAATGCTTTTTGCCTTTCATTTTTATTATTATTATTATTATTATTATTATTATTATTATTATTATTATTGCTTGTCACGCAATTGTTCTTTGAAGGCTTGCTCATATATTATCTGTTTCCATTTTTTTCCATTTCCCTTTTTTTGCATGCCGTCCCTCCTGTCTCTTCCTTCCCTCCAAAATCCTCTGTTCCCGTGTGTAGACACAACGGCGGAGACAGAACCGGCGGTTCACGGTTGGTATTGCATTCCTGTTCTTACCTTTTTCTCTCTCTCAGCAGCAGCAAGAGCAGAGCTGAGTGGCAACGCAAGCCTTTGGGGGAGGAAACCACGCAGGATTTGGGGTGGGGTGGGCATGGAACAACAACAACAACAACAATAGTGATACAAGTTTGGGCAGAATCGCAGACCAAGTGGGCTGATCCAGCCTGCAAGCCATAACATTTCCAGGCTTTGAAAGGATTCTGAAAGTTGCATCCTCCTATTCACATATCTAAGATACGGCATTGCAATCCGTACAGTGTTCTATTCCACATTCAAACACAATTGTGGGTCAGCCCATGGATCAATGTGATGATACAAGTTGGACAGAATCGTAGATCAAGTGGGTTAATCCACTCTCCAAGCTGTAACATTCCCAGTCTTGGAAAGGATGCCTCACCTTTGATTCGGAAGGTTGCATTGTCCTATTAACATATCTTAAGATATGGCATTGCAATTCCGTACAGTCTTCTATCCCACATTCAAACTCCATTGTGGGTCAGCCCATGGATCAATGTGATGATACAAGTTGGACAGAATCACAGATCAACCGGGTTAATCCACTCTGCAAGCTGTAACATTCCCAGTCTTGGAAAGGATGCCTCACCTTTGATTCGGAAAGTTGCATTGCCCTATTAACATATCTTAAGATATGGCATTGCAAGTCCATACAGTCTTCTATTCCACATTCAAACTCCATTGTGGTTCAGCTCATCGTCCAATGTGATGATACAAGTTGGACAGAATCGTAGATCAAATGGGCTAATCCACTCTCCAAGCTGTAACATATCCAGTCTTGGAAAGGATGCCTCACCTTTGATTCGGAAAGTTGCATTGTCCTATTAACATATCTTAAACTATTATTATTATTATTATTATTATTATTATTATTATTATTATTAAACTTTATTTGTACCCCGCTTGCATCTCCCGAAGGACTCGATGCGGCTTACAAAGGCCAAGGCCTCAAAACACAACATAACAATACACAACCTAAAGCAAATTAAAAACAGTTAAAGCAATATTAAACAACAAGCAAGAAAACAATACACCAAGACACAATAAAACTATGGCATTGCAAGTCCATACAGTCTTCTATTCCACATTCAAACTCCATTGTGGGTCAGCTCAAGGTCCAATGTGATGATACAAGTTGGCCTTCAATTCCCAGAAATCCTAACAACTGGTAAACTGGCCCAACCTGTGGGTCAATCCACTCTGCAAGCTGTAACGTTCCCAGTCTTGGAAAGGATGCCTCACCTTGGATTTGGAAAGTTGCATTGCCCTATTAACATATCTAAGATACGGCATTGCAATCCGTACAGTCTTCTATTCCACATTCAAACTCCATTGTGGTTCAGCTCATTGTCCAATGTGATGATATAAGTTGGACAGAATCACAGATCAAGTGGGTTAATCCACTCTCCAAGCTGTAACATTCCCAGTCTTGGAAAGGATGCCTCACCTTTGATTCTGAAAGTTTCATTGCCCTATTAACGTATCTTCAGATATGGCATTGCAAGTCCATACAGTCTTCTATTCCACATTCAAACTCCACTGTCGGTCAGCTCATTGTCCAGTCTCACGATCTCTTGTTCTATTTGTCCATCTATTTTTCAAATCTCCCTAAAATTTAGCAATTAGTCCCATCACACGTTGTAAACAAATGTGTGGGTCAATAGATAGAAACTTAACTACCTGCCATTAATGTATTATTAACAGCTATTTGTGTTGTATTGTCGAAGGCTTTCATGGCCAAAATCACTGGGTTGTGGTAAGTTTTTTCGGGCTGTATGACCATGTTCTAGAGCAGTGGTTCTCAACCTGGGATCCCCAGATGTTTTTGGCCTTCAACTCCCAGAAATCCTAACAGCTGGTAAACTGGCTGGGATTTCTGGGAGTTGTAGGCCAAAACACCTGGGGACCCACAGGTTGAGAACCACTGTTCTAGAGGCATTCTCTCCTGACGTTTCACCTGAATCTATGACAGTGGTCCTCAACCTGTGGATCCCCAGGTGTTTTGGCCTACAACTCCCAGAAATCCCAGCTGCTTTACCAGCTGTTAGGATTTCTGGGAGTTGAAGGCCAAAAACATCTGGGGACCCCAGGTTGAGAACCACTGTTCTAGAGGCATTCTCTCCTGACGTTTCGCCTGCATCTATAGCAATGGTTCTCAACTTTTGGGTCCCCCAGGTGTTTTGGCCTACAACCCCCAGAAATCCCAGCTGGTTTACCAGCTGTTAGGAATTCTGGGAAGTTGAAGGCCAAAACATCTGGGGACCCACAGGTTGAGAACCACTGATCTATGGCAAGCATCTTCAGAGGTTGTGAGGTGTCTCAGAACCTCAGAACCTCTGAGGATGCTTGCCATAGATGCAGGCGAAACGTCAGGAGAGAATGCCTCTAGAACATGACCATACAGCCTGAAATAACCTACAATAACCCAGCTATTTGCGTTGTTTGTACACACTGCAGGCCTAATGCAGTTTGGCACCACTTGAACTACCATGGTTTGATGCTGCTATCATATGACGAGAGTTGTAGTTTTGCAAGGCAAGGCCTGGCACCTTCCCTGCCTCACCAAGCTTCGACTCTCAGGATCACATTGCATTGAGCCACGGGGTCTCAAACTGCATTAGTTCCACAGTGTAGATGCAACACCACTTGAACTGCCATGGCTCGATGCTTCTATGATATGACGAGAGTTGTAGTTTTGCAAGGCAAGGTCTGGCGCCTTCTCTGCCTCACTAAGCCTCGACTCTCAGGATCACATTGCATTGAGCCACGGGGTCTCAAACTGCATCAGTTCCACAGTGTAGATGCAAAGCTCTGAAGAAGTGTCACTTTGGAAACAGTCCCAGGTGTGACAGGGAGGAAGAGCAGGCGGACCAGCTGAGGGATGTTTTGGAAAGGCCGTGCAAGAAGGACACCGTCTGTGCAAGTTGTTTTGCACCAAGGCTGTTCTTCGAAATGCAACGTGCCCAAAGCAAGGCGTTCCCATTGAAATCCCTTCAAACATGCAAGAAAAAAACAGTTTGACGGCTCTCGGTTTTCCCGAGTGTGACCCAGACTCCCAGGCAAACCGAGATGTTGATGAAATATTGAAGAGGTGGCTTTAAATATCTGGGAATGCATCTATAGTTTGGAGCAATGCACCCTTGTTGCCTTCAAGTCTTATTGGGAGGCTGGCCAAGAATGAACGAGAAAGGGCCCTTCCATACAGCCCTCTATCCCAGGCAGAAAATCCCACATTATCTGAGTGTGGACTCATATTATCCAGTTCAAAGCAGATATTGTGGGATTTTCTGCCTTGATATTCTGGGTTGTATGGCTGTGTGGGAAGGACCCAAAGACACACATTAGCAAGGAAGAAGCACAGGCCCTCTTCTACACAATCATATAATCCAGATTATTACAGTGGATAATCCAGATTATCTGCTTTGAAGTGGACTATAGGAGTCTACACTGCCATATTGTCCAGTTCGAAGCAGATAATCTGGATTTTATGTGGCTGTGTAGACTCATATAACCCAGTTCTAAGCAGATAATGTGGATTTTATATGGCAGTGTCTTTGCTATTCTGGCTTGTATGGCTGTGTGGAAGAGCCCTAAGACACACATTAGCTGTGGAAGAAGCACAGGCCCTCTTCTTCACAGTCATATAATCCAGATTAGCACAGTGGATAATCCAGATTATCACTTTGAACTGGATTATAGGAGTCTACACTGCCATAGTTCAAAGCAGATAATATGGATTTTATGTGGCAGTCTAGACTCATATAACACAACTGGGTTATATGAGTCTACACTACAGATAATGTGGACCTGATTGCCCTTCCGGGTAGGCCTTATATCCCAAGAGCCGATCCCAGGTTTTCTGCTTTGAACTGGATTATAGGAGTCCACACTGCCAGATAATCTGGAATAAACAGAAAGCCTGGGATCAGATCCTGGGATATAGAGCCTGTCTGGAAGGGCCCCGAGACCTTCTCCAACTTTAGGCCTTCTGCAAAAAAAGCCATTGAACTGCACTTTGAGGCCCCATCTAAACTGCCATATAAAATCCAGATTATCTGCTTTGAACTGGGTTACATGGCAGTGTAGACTCATATAATCCAGTTCAAAGCAGATAATGTGGATCTGAAGTGTAGAAGAGACACGAGTCTCCTTGTGGAGAGAAAAGTTGGGGTATAAATAAACAAAATAATAATAATAATAATAATCTCCAAAATATCAAGCTCAGGAGAGATTACAATGTCAGGTCCTGCCATTGGGCATGCATTGAATTTCAGTCATATTTCTTAAGAGGACAACCTTCCCAGTTGCCATAGGATAATAATTATAATTATGCATTATTATTATTAATTTTCACTTATCCTCCATTTCTTCTCTCCAAAAGGAGACTACTCAAAGCAGCTTCCATGACAAACATTTCAGTACAGTTTGAAATCTACCAATATGCAAATATTAAAACATAATTAAATATCAGTATTTTTAAAAATTCAATCAAAAATCCATAAAAACATATTCAAAACTGGAAAAATCACTGATGATTACTAATTAAGTTGCCTAGCTTTTCAATCGTCAGTGAGGTGTTGGGTTCTTTTCAGCTAGGATCCACTGCATCCAATTCGAGATGTAAGAATCCGAACTGGGATTCGTTTCCTAGTTGGAAACAAATCCCAGTTTTGGCTGAATGGAAGTGTAAGCGAGGCCTGGATAATTGGGCAATATCTTCCATGAACTTTAATATGGACAAGTTTGGTCCAAGAATTGGATGGAATAATAATAATCCATAATAATAATAATAATAATAACAACAACAACAACAACAACAACAACAGTGTCAGGAGCGACTTGGGAAACTGCAAGTCACTTCTGGGGTGAGAGAATTGGCCAAGGGACATTGCCCAGATGTTTTGATGTTTTTACCAACCTTCTAGGCAGCTTCTCTCATGTCCCCGTATGGGAGCTG